AATAAATGTAGTCAAAGAACTTGAAATTGGTTATATGAATTGAATTTATATTCAATTAAAGATTTCTTGCTGTTGTGCAATACACTGTGCTGTTGCGCAATACTTAGTAAATCTGTTGTCAGACTATAAACAAATAAAGTTCAATTAATTCTCAATGTCATATTAGAAAATTATGAAAATCAAAAGGAGCTTACATCAATAAATATAAACAATTCACCAAAGTTTCATGGGAATTGCTGACAGCATTTTTGAGTTATTGTCAGAAAACTGGAAAATCCCCCTTTTTAAATGAATAAAACCCCATAACTCAGAAATGTAAAATGTAAAATTTATAAAATTCTAAAGGGAGCTTACATCAATAGATATAAACAATTCACCAAAGTTTCATAAGAACTGCTGAAAGCATTTTTGAGTATTTGTCCAAAAACTGGAAAATCCCCCTTTTTTTTAATACAAGAGTGCACACGCTGAAATGTCTCGCCTTCTTTACCAATCATTGATATTATGTTGATAGTCCTAAATATAAAGCTTTATTACAACTGTCACATAAACTTAACATCAACCAAGTAAACTAAACATTGACCAATGAACCATGAAAATGAGGTCAAGGTCAGATGAACCATGCTAGGCAGGCATGTACAGCTAACAATTCTTCCATACAACAAATATAGTTGACCTATTGCTTATAGTTTAAGAAAAACAGATGAAAACACAATAACTTAACACTGAGCAATGAACCTTGAAAATGAGGTCAAGGTCAAATAAAACCTGCGTAACTGACATATAGATCATAAAATATTTCCATACACCAAATATAGTTGAACTATTGCATATAGTATTAGAAAAAAAGACCAAAACTCAAAAACTTAACTTTGACCACTGAACCATGAAAATGAGGTCAAGGTAAGATGACACCTGCCAGCTAGACATGTACACCTTACAATCATTCCATACACCAAATATAGCTGACCTATTGCATGCAGTATTAGAAAGAAAGACCAAAACTCAAAAACTTAACTTTGACCACTGAACCATGAAAATGAGGTCAAGGTCAGATGACACCTGCCAGCTAGACATGTACACCTTACAAACATTCCATACACCAAATATAGTAGACCTATTGCATACAGTATAAGAAAAACAGACCAAAACACAAAAACTTAACTATAACCACTGAACCATGAAAATGAGGTCAAGGTCAGATGACACCTGCCAGTTGGACATGTACACCTTACAGTCCTTCCATACACCGAATATACTAGACCTATTGCTTATAGTATCTGAGATATGGACTTGACCACCAAAACTTAACCTTGTTCACTGATCCATGAAATGAGGTCGAGGTCAAGTGAAAACTGTCTGAAGGGCATGAGGACCTTGCAAGGTACGCACATACCAAATATAGTTATCCTATTACTTATAATAAGAGAGAATTTAACATTACAAAAAATCTGAACTTTTTTTTCAAGTAGTCACTGAACCATGAAAATGAGGTCAAGGACATTGGACATGTGACTGACGGAAACTTCGTAACATGAGGCATCCATATACAAAGTATGAAGCATCCAGGTCTTCCATCTTCTAAAATATAAAGCTTTTAAGAAGTTAGCTAACGCCGCCGCCGCCGCCGTAGCCGCCGGATCGCTATCCCTATGTCAAGCTTTCTGCGACAAAAGTCGCAGGCTCGACAAAACCCTGCAACTCGGAAACGTAAAATCTAAATTTTATAAAAATCGAAAGGGAGCTCATGTCAATAGATATAAACAATTCACCACAATTTTTTGCAAGTTGGTGAAAGTATTCTTGAGTTATTGTCCGAAAATTGGAAAATCCCCCTTTTTTTAATGAATAAAACCCCATAACTCTGAAACATAAAATCTAAAATTTATAAAAAACGAAAGGGAGCTCACGTCAATAGATATAAACAATTCACCAAAGTTTTATGCAAATTGGTTAAAGCATTTTTGAGTTAATGTCCGACATGTTGACGACGGACGGACAGACGGACGGACAGACAACGGTATACCATAATACGTCCCGTAAAAGGACGTATAAAAATCTAAACACATGTTTAGATTTAGCATATCAAAGTACCCCAAGAATTCAATTTTTGTTAAAATCAAACTAAGTTTAATTTTGGACCCTTTGGACCTTAATGTAGACCAATTTTAAAATGGGACCTAAAATTAATAAACTGCTTCGCTGAGCGCAGCTGGATACGCCCGCAGAGGTCCAACCCTGAACAGTTGGGGCAAAAATGGACACAATATTCAAGCTTGATACAGGTCTGAATTTGGATTGTAATTAAATATTTGACATATTATAGGTTTCTGAATAAATGTAGTCAAAGAACTTGAAATTGGTTATACGAATTGAATTTATATTCAATGAAAGATTTCTTGCTGTTGTGCAATACACTGTGCCGTTGCGCAATACTTAGTAAATCTGTTGTCAGACTATAAACAAATAAAGTTCAATTAATTCTCAATGTCATATTAGAAATTTATGAAAATGTAAAGGGAGCTTACATCAATAGATATAAACAATTCACCAAAGTTTCATGAGAATTGCTGACAGCATTTTTGAGTTATTGTCCGAAAACTGGAAAATTCCCCCCTTTTTTATGAAAAAAACCCCATAACTCAGAAATGGTAAATGAAAAATTTATAAAATTCTAAACGGAGCTTACATCAATAGATATATAAACAATTCACCAAAGTTTCATAAGAACTGCTGAAAGCATTTTTGATTTTTTGTCCGAAAACTGAAAAATCCCCCTTTTTTTAATGAATAAAACCCCATAACTCGGAAACGTAAAATCTAAAATTTATAAAAATCGACAGGGAGCTCATGTCAATAGATATAAAAAATTCACCACAATTTCTTGCAAGTTGGTGAAAGCATTCTTGAGCTATTGTCCGAAAACTGGAAAATCCCCCTTTTTTTAATGAATAAAACCCCATAACTCGGAAACGTAAAATCTAAAATTTAAAAAAATCGACAGGGAGCTCATGTCAATAGATATAAACAATTCACCACAATTTCTTTCAAGTTGGTGAAAGCATTCTTGAGCTATTGTCCGAAAACTGGAAAATCCCCATTTTTTTAATGAATAAAACCCCATAACTAGGAAACGTAAAATCTAAAATTTATAAAAAACGAAAGGGAGCTCACGTCAATAGATATAAACAATTCACCAAAGTTCTATGCAAATTGGTTAAATCGTTTTTGAGTTAATGTCCGACATGTTGACGACGGACGGACAGACGGACGGACGGACAGACGGACGGACGGACAGACGGACAGACGGACAACGGTATACCATAATACGTCCCGTAAACGGGCGTATAAAAATTATAAAGTTGGTTTTTTTTTTTAAATGAATGGGTAGCCCCAAGAAAGCCAATAATGTATTGTATTTTAGTCATCCATTGTAGAAAGATATGTATATTGTAATGTTACATTTTATTTTCGATATGATGCTTAGATTTAGTATATTTTATGATAAAAGTATTTCTTAAATACATTTGTATGTGCGGTGTTATTGAACATCCAGTTTGTTTTTTTCTAGGAAGTTTGATAAGAATCAGAATTAAATCCACTCAAAGGTTGTTACATTGGAATTATTTTAAAAGAATTTAAATTAGAAATAATACATATTCCAATAACTGAATATTAAAGTTTTAAAAAGATTGCATTGTATCCAAACTTTTTCATTTAAGGAGGGTCGTGTTATACATGTATATCCATTTATATATTATGATATTTTAATTTGTCACTCTCTACTGATTCAACAAACTAGACAATATTATCAATTTCGTTATATCTGACTGTGAGTTAACTTTTGTATATTTGTAAAAATAAAACTTATTTTCGTAAAATTGTTGGTTTCGCTCCTTTCTGCGATGCTTAATAATTGAGTCACAACACCTTGGTAGGGACTATTGAATTCACACTTTCTATATTCTTGCAAACTGATGTGCAACCTAAATAGTAAAATACGTTTTCTGACAGCTCATTATTGCTTATATAGTCATTGATGTATTGAAAATCACTAACTGTTAAAAAGGCACATGCATAAGGGAAAGCAGTGTTGGTAATTGATATTCTTTGGGAATTTTTTATATCTTCCATCCATTACTCCTGCCAAGTCTTTCCACTTTTCTGTTCAAACTGATACTGCAGTTGCAGAAGAAAAAATGAAATTTTAGAAAGTTTATGGGCAGACCTACAACTGACAGCAATAGGTGGAAATAGCTCATGTTGACCATGTGGACAAGGTAAGCTAAAATATTAAATACTGTAAATTCAGAAAGGAGAAGGTCCGGTAAGGGCTAATTTTGGCCTAAAATTTGAAGTACATCTGATTAAAGATTTTTTGACACTTTTTAAACACTTAAGTGTGTACTTCAGTAGATTCAATTAGTTTTTTGTAAAAGATTTGAACTGATTTGGTCATTAAAGACGCTCAAATTCAAGCTTAAATATGAAAAATCTATCAAATATGCCACAAAACGTCACTTTTCAGATGGTTTTTGTCTAAAATGAAAGTGGCCGCATTCGTGTTCAGTTTCAACCTTTATATATGTTATATAATATCATCAAGTTCAGCATATATTCAAATATTAAGACTAAACACAAGTGCAGCCACTTCCATTTTAGACAAAAACCGTCTAAAAATAGCACAAATGTTAAATTGTGAAGATTTCAGTAATTTTGCAGGAATAAATGATGCTAGTACCTAATGCATACACGTGTGCATTGTCTTGTCAACAGCCAATATTTATGTAGCAAAAGTATTCTATTTTCCAATAAGTAGATAAAAGTTTACATTTTAACAAATTTGTAATAATGCTATATTTTGGGGCCAAAAGGGAGTCTTACCGGACCTACTCCTTTCTGCATAGTTTTTGTTTTGCAAAACCTATCCTGCCTTTATTTCACATTTATTAAAAGATAGCAAAAATTTCTGAATTATATTATACAAATTACTGTAATACCTGACATATTTTTTCTGATGAGGCATTCCTGAGAAAGTTGTGTGTGTAACTAAAGATAAATATTGTCCATTTCTCTCTCCCCATCTTCGTAGATTAACAAAGTCCCGAGCTGCCACAATACCTCCAGCAGCTTCAGCTGCAATGGTATAAGCTATATCTGTATTTTCACTGATGGCTTGTAATACCTGAATTTAAAAATAAAATAATGAAATCACAGCACTAGGTGACCTTATTTTAGCTAGATGTTCATATATTTTATTATGTTTAAAAAATCTTATACCATGATCATACCATCAAAACTCAACAAAAATCACCAGTGTAGCTATTTAAAAGATGTTTGCTGTACATTTGAACTAAAACTATCATGTTCCCGCAGAAGGCTAAGTATATAACAAGACAGATATCTTACATTTCAGCTTTCTCCATTTTAAATTTTTGGTAAAAACAGAAGACTATCTTTGTTGTCAGAAGTAGATCTCCAAAAGAGGTAGTAAATTATTATTTAACCTGAAGTTGTTAGGACAATGCGTTGCGGGGGGACATAGAAATACCACAGGTCTGTTTGTTCATCCGACTTTCCATTCGATCTACTTAGCACTCTCACATGTACAATTCTTGCCAGATTTTTAGAAAACATAAGTTTATATCAGCAATGTCTCGGACTCAGTGCTGATCAATTTTTTTAAAAGAGTTATGCCACTTGGAAATATTAATTATATTGGAAATTGCATTTTATTTGCTCTCAAGCCTTCATTTCTCTAAGATATTTGTTAAAAGTTTTAAAGATAAAAAAAAAAATTTTTTTTTTTAGTTATTGCCCTGTGATATATAAAATATGTGCAACGTTAACGCGGTGGACATTTGGAACTCTGTTCTTTTATCTTTGAACTTTGAATCACTAATCATTCATAGTTGAGACATAATTTACCAAATAATTTTAGGAAGTAATAATCAAAAGCAATAATGTAAATAATTACATGTTAATCTATTAATTCTATATATCAGACATCTTAAGTATAATATTGAGGTCAAAAATTATGTTTTGAGCTGTGTAATAAAAATGAGTTTGCTTTACTAAAAGATTATATATATAGGTAATTTGGTCAATTAAGATTGGCATTAAAGAAGAGGCAATGTCACTTAAAACTCCACTTTTTGTCTAAATATTTTGTGACCATGACAGTCATCAATCATACTGGTATTGTATTGTAACTCTTACTTCATAACAAGAGGCTCCCAGGTGCCCTGAATCACTAACCTAGTTAAAATATGCCATTTTGTTATTCATTTTTACCTTCATTGCAATCACTTAGCTTCTTAGTAAATCTTATCTAGTGACATTATAAGATCCTGTATTGATGATAATTTTTATTGTTTTATTGTTTACTGTTTATACCTATCTATTGAAGATTTGAGATGATTGGCAAAATCATAAAAATTAGTAAAAAATTGTAAGTTTAAGGCAATAAATCCTTTAAGGAGTCCGACTATTTTATCCATGTTGACCTAGTAGTAGATGTTATTTTGCTGATAATTTTTGTCTTTGAATTTTCTCGCTATTTATAACTAGTTTTTTTTTACAAAAATGCAAAAATGGGTAAAAAATCATCATTCATGACAATAACTCTTATAAGGTGTCGGTTGACAATTTCTGCACTGTTGACTTATTTGAGAATCTTGGTGTGTTGAACATTTTTGCTATATACTGTTGTCTCTATCTATTATAGTTTCTGCAAAAAAATGAAAAAAAAAATGGGTAAATATCGTCATTCAGGGGCAATTAAGTCCTGTAAGGGTTCCATTGACAATTTTCCTACATGTTGACCTTTTTGTAGATCTTCTATTTTACTGAACATTTATGGTCATTTATGCTATTTACTGTTGCTCTCTATCTATCATTATAGTTTCTGCCAAAAATACAAAAACGAGTAAAAACTGTCATTAAGGAGCAATTAACTCCAATCCTTGGGGTCAATTGATGTTAAGGTCATTTGGCTTATTTGTATATCTTATTTTTCTATTCAATAATATATGAAAAAATGTTAAAATAAAAATGGGTAAAAAACATTTAGGGGCAATAACTCCTATAAGGAGGTAGTTGACAACTTCTGTATTGCTGACTTTTAGAAGATCTTATTGTGCTGAACATTTATGGTATTTACTCTAACTATTTTTGCTATTTACTATTGCCATATACTCAATTTGGTGATGACTGACAATTTCAGTCATGTTTTTGTTCTGCTCATGGTTTTTTGCATTTTATCTCTATTTACTGTGCTTTTTGCAAAAACACAAAAATCTTCTCTTATATGGAGTTGTATGACAAAATTTGGTCATGCATGTGGCATGCTAACTTATTATTAGATCTGTCCTGTTGATAATTTTTTGCTGTCTACAGATTCTTTATATATATCTACTATGGTTTCCTCAAAACAAAAAAACAAAAAAAACTGTTGACACAGAGATATGTCATAAAAAAATTGGGAAAAATAATCTTTCATGGTAATAAAACTCCAATAAGGAGTCAAATAACAATTTAATGCCATGTTAACTTATTTGTAAATATTGTCCTGTTGGAAAATTGACAATTTCTTAAATCTTGAGGAAAAAAAAATTGCCCCACCCCCAAACAAATTTTTTTTTGTTTAACCCCCTACCGACACCCCCACCCCCCTCCAAAAAAAAAATAATATTTGAAGAGAATTTTCTTTTGAGGAAAAAAATTGTCCCCCCCCCAAAAAAAAAATTTACCCCCCCGACCCCCACCCCTTCCAAAAAAATTCATTTTGAAGAAATTTTCTTTTTGTAAAATGTGGTACAAATTAAGAGACATCCATACACTTAAACATAAGTTATTGTCTGAAAACTAGAAAAATGCTTGTTTTAGACCCTTTTAGGCCCCTAATACCTGAACGGTTTGGGCAATTACCCCCAAAATGAATCCCAACCTTCTACTTGTAGTATTGAGCCTTGTGGTACAATTTCAGAACAAACAAAATACTTATACACAAGTTATTGTCCTGAAACTAGAAAAATGCTTGTTTTGGCCCCTTTTTGACCCTAATTCCTAAACGGTTGAGACCATCAGCCACAAAAACAATCCCAACCTTCCTTTTGTGGTATTGAACCTTTTGCTTAAATTTCATAGAGATCCATACACTTAAACTAAAGTTATTGCAAGGAAACCAAAAGTCTTCTGACGACGCTGATGCAGACGACGTGATACCAAGATTTCCTTCATTTGTTGACTTTTTTTATATAAATTGTCCTGCTAAACAATTTTTACTATTCACAGCTTCTATCTATTAAAGTTTTAAGGATAATAGCCACAATTGCAAAAAAAGTGTAAAAATTGTCATTTAAAGGCAATGACTGCTATAAGAAGTTGTTAGAAAGTTTAATCAAAACAAACTGTAGATAGTTTATTGTTATTTTGAAAATTTCTGTCCCTGCCACATCTTTCTTTCTAAAACCATTTTAAAGATAATGGAAAATACTTTTGTTTTACCCCAAGTTTTATTTTAAGCCAAGGTAGCCATGTTGGTTTACAGGGAGGATCAACAGACTCTTTTTTTAAACTAGATACACCAAGGATGATCTAGTTTGGTTACAAATGGCTAGAAGTTTCAAAGGAAAAGCTTTTTCTAAAAGTAAACAAATGACGGAAGCCAAGTGATGAGAAAAGCAGTATGGGCAGTTATCTAAACATCAGTTGGAAATAGATTGACCTACAGATTGGCAAGAAGCACCAAAAAAAAAAAAACCAAACCAACATAGACAAAAGACACAAAATAATTATATAAAGAGTACTCTCAGCTACTGAAAGCTAGTTCATAGCCAATAACAACTAATAAATAAATCAAGCTCTCCCAAACTAAAGTATCAATCAGTACACAACCCAAAGGATATACTACAAAGGATTTAGTGTTAAGATGTCATAAACAGTCTGAGAAAAGCATGACCTTGTGCAATGCCAAAATATATGTTCATTGTCACTTACAAAAATAAAGCATTTTGATTATGTCAGTTTAAGAGGACTTCGTGTTTGGTTTTATATAAAGTATGATTTGTCTCTTCCTTTAACAAGATATGTTAGTATAACCTCACCAATGACCCGCCACTATATATAGATATATTAACAATTCCGTCCTCTTTTTTTTCACAGAAGCACCATGGGAACATAATAGAATAAAATGCTCCGCAGGGCGCAGCTTGATACGACCGCAGAGGTCGAACCCTGAACAGTTGGGGGAAGTATGGACACAACATTCAAGCTTGATACAGCTTTGGATTTGGATTGTGATTAAATATTTGACACAGCATAGGTTTCTAACACAGATTGAATGTGGTCTAAGAACTTAAAAATTTTAAATTGGACATTCACCTATTATGGTCCAATATCCAAAATCTAAATACATGGTTAGATTCAGCATATCAAAGAACCCCAAGAATTCAATTTTTGATGAAATCAAACAAAGTTTAATTTTGGACCCTTTTGACCTCAATGTGGACAAAGTTGATAACGGGGCCCAAAAATCAAAAATCTAAATACATGGTTAGATTCAGCATATCAAAGAACCCCATATATTCAATTTTTGTTGAAATCAAACAAAGTTTAATTTTGGACCCCGATTTGGACCAACTTGAAAACTGGGCCCATAATCAAAAATCTAAATACATGTTTAGATTCAGCATATCAAAGAACCCTAAGAATCCAATTTTTGTTAAAATCAAACTAAATTTAATTTTGGACCCTTTGGACCTTAATGTAGACAAATTTGAAAACGGAACCAAAAATTAAGAATCTAAATACACGGTTAGATTCGGCATATCAAAGAACCCCAATAATTCAATTTTTGATGAAATCAAACAAAGTTTAATTTTGGACCCTTTTGACCTCAATGTAGACAAAGTTGATAACGGGGCCCAAAAATCAAAAATCTAAATACATGGTTAGATTCAGCATATCAAAGAACCCCATATATTCAATTTTTGTTGAAATCAAACAAAGTTTAATTTTGGACCCCGATTTGGACCAACTTGAAAACTGGGCCCATAATCAAAAATCTAAATACATGTTTAGATTCAGCATATCAAAGAACCCTAAGAATTCAATTTTTGTTAAAATCAAACTAAGTTTAATTTTGGACCCTTTGGACCTTAATGTAGACCAATTTGAAAACGGAACCAAAATTTAAGAATCTAAATACACAGTTAGATTCGGCATATCAAAGAACCCCAATAATTCAATTTTTGATGAAATCAAACAAAGTTTAATTTTGGACCCTTTGGACCTCAATGTGGACCAATTTAAAAACGGGGCCCAAAATCCAAAAACTAAATACACGGTTAGATTCAGCATATTAAAGAACCCCATGAAATCAAGAATAAAACCCCATTGAAATTGGTCAAGAAATAAGCAATTTATAGGAAGTATCTTCTTTTGCATAATCCTGTGCTATTAAATATTTCTTGCTATTGCGCAATACTGTACAATTGACAATTTCTTGCTATTGCGCAATATTGTGCTATTGGATATTTCTTGCTATTGCGCAATACTGTGCAATTGAAGATTTCTTGCTATTGCGCAATACTGTGCAATTGAAGATTTCTTGCTATTGTGCAATACTGTGCAATTGAAAATTTCTTGCTATTGCACAATACTTATTATATAATAATTTACACATCCTGTTTGGTGTGTATCTCCTACCATATCATTATTATTTGATTTTAAATATAAATCAGAAATAACCAACTTAAAATGGAAAATTTTAAAAGAAACAAAAAAGGAAAAAAAGAAAAAAAAGGAAAAAAAAATAAATCCCCCCCCAAAATTTTTTGAACCCCCATTATGATTCATCACCCCCAAACTCAATCCCAGCCTTCCCTTTGTGGTATGGTACCTCGCAGTACAATTTCAGAGAGATCCATACACTTGAACACAAGTTATTGTCTGGAAACTAGAAAAAAATGTGTTTTTTGGCCCCTTTTTGGCCCCAAATTCCTAAACGTTTAGGGCAATTACCCCCAAACTCAAACCCAGCTTTCCCTTTGTGATATGGAACCTTGTAGTACAATTTCAGAAAGATCCATACACTTACACACAAGTTATTGTCATGAAACTAGAAAAATGCTTGTTTTTTGCCCCTTTTTTGGCCCCTAATTCCTAAAATTTGGAGGCAATTACCCCCAAAATCAATCCCAGCATTCCTTTAGTGATATGGAACCTTGTGGTACAATGTCAGAGAGATCCATACACTAACACACAAGTTATGTCTGGAAGTTACAAAAATGCTTATTTTTGGCCCCTTTTTGGCCCCTAATTCCTTTACTGTTATTACCATAACCCCCAAAATCAATCCCAACCTTCCTTTTGTGGTATTGAACCTTGTGGTAAAATTTCATAAAGATCCATTCCCTTAAACTAAAGTTAGAGTGCGAAAACCAATGTGTCTTCGGACGACGCCGGACGACGACGACGACGACGACAACGACGACGACGACGCCAATGTCATACCAATATACGACCACAAAAATTTTTTTGCGGTCGTATAAAAACAAAGGATATGGGGTATCCATCCATGACACAAAATCAGTACATACACAGCAAAAAAACACACAATAAGCAAAGGAACAGCACTTTTATTGCTGTTCTTCATCTCAAAGTCACAGTGAAGCCTGCTTGTGATCTTTTGGACTATAGAAGAAGAAACAGATTTATGTGTCCAGTACAATGAAGATTGTAAAGTCTGTTTACAATTTATTCCAAATGATGGATCACTTGAGTGATACTAGATAAGTTAGATTTAAATGCTCTGATTTTTTCAGCCAATTTTTTTTCATTCCAAATACTTATCAGAGCATCATAAGGTAAAGAAGAATGTACTATCTTTCCCAAATCTAAAATGGCAAGATGGGGTGGTCAAAATACCAAGGGTAAGAAAAAGCATTATGGAATCTTTTCTAAAATACGTTTTTCATAGTAGTTTAAATTCATTGATAATTTGAACATCTGACATGTTATGGTAAAATAAATTTGATTATTTGAATTGCTAATACACTTTATTGAGAGGCGGATGTTAAAATTCCATGGAAACAAAGGGCATAAAAGATGATAGAAAACTTTTTCTAAGCTATAATATTGTGTACCCAATTACCATATGGAAAATTGATCTTGATGTCAGAATCTAAAATAATCAAAGAATTTAAACCTGCTTCATTTACTAATAAACAACTGCGCCATTAGCGCATGATACGCCCGTCGCATTTTTTACGAATAAAGTTCAATAACTTCTCAATGTCATATCAGAAATTTGTGAAAAACTAAAGGGTGGTTATCTTAATTGATATAAACCAGTCACCAAAGTTTAATGAAAACAGCTCAAAGCACTTTAAAGGTATTGTCCGAAAAACTAGAAAATCACCCCTTTTTTATGAATAAAATCCCATAACTCAGAAGTATAAAATCTAAAATTTATAAAAATTGAAAGGGAGCTTACATCAATAGATATAAACAATTCTCTAAAGTTTCATGATAACTTCTGAAAGCATTTTTGAGTTATTGTCCGAAAACTGGAAAATCCCCCCTTTTTTTTTAATGAATAAAACTCCATAACTCGGAAACATAAAATCTAAAATTTATAAAAATAAAAAGGGAGCTCATGTCAATAGATATAAACAATTGACCAAAGTTTCTTGCAAATTGGTGAAAGCATTTTTGAGTTATTGTCCGAAAACTGGAAAATCCCCCCTTTTTTAATGAATAAAACCCCATAACTCAGAAACATAAAATCTAAATTTTATAAAAAACGAAAGGGAGCTCATATCAATAGATATGAACAATTCACTAAAGTTTTATGCAATTGGTTGAAGCGTTTTTGAGCTAATGTCCGACATGTTGACGACGGACGTACGGACAGAGGTATACCATAATACGTCCCGTAAACGGGCGAATAAAAAGCTACAATAGCTAAAATTATATAAAAACTTATTTGAAAAGATATCACAACACTTATTTCAAGTTTTGTTATTTTGATCCCCTTATTTACCATGAAAAATCCCCCCTGATTAGATATCAGACTTTCAAATTGTATTACCATAATGGCCCAATAACTATTCCAAATGAATAATATGTTTGAAATAATATCACAACACTTTTAGCAATTGTTTTTACCCCCCTTCCTAACAATTCCAAATTTACCCCCCAAAATCATAAACAGCGATTCTACAGTCTAGTCAGACAACCATGACCTTAGATGTTTTAAGTATTCTATTTAACATAGCTCGTGCCTCTTAATAACTGTTAGGAATCTAATATGGGTTTTTAATGACCCCATGTTATGGTATTATGACATCACCTATTTTTTACTGTAAAATACAGAAAGGCACTAAATCAACATATCCATAATAGCAGAAACAGAGGGGGGAGTGATGTGTTTATTTTCCAGGACTGAAAATTGAGTCAGATAAATTTTCTATGGAGTTAAAATAACGCTGGACAACTTTCATCACATTATAACCAAAGTTAGAACTATTTGCAACTCAGCCAAAAACACAATGTATTAAAGAATGCTTGCATTTAAGAAATGCTTATTACAACAATTTCCTTAATAAATGTAATCAGTTGAGTTTTGACAGTGAAAAAAGTTTCAATGCAATTGAAACCTTACATAAATATTAACAGCATACATTGTTGTACTTACTCTGCTTTCTACACAGGTTGGGTTCCAGTGGGAATTCTCTTCTAAATTATATGCACACTCCTCCCATAGATATTGAGCTCTAAAATCTACCTCACTCTGTAAAATAATGAATGACCTGTTACAGAATACCCTGTTTGATAAAAAAATATCTATCCAAATTTACTCTGGAACAAATCTTTTTAGAGCTTTTTACATTAATGGGCACAAGAAAAAATATTTTTGTGGTCTAAGTTATAATATTTAATGTACTATTTTACTGCATTTTTCAACAATTAAAGTCTCTTCATGCAAGGGTGACAAATGTTCATGATTTTCCATTTCCATATACCAAATATGGTTGTCTTTTTACTCATAATAAGTGAGTACTTCACTTGACAAAAACATATACACCTTTTTCAAGCAGTTACTGAACCATGAAAATGAGGTAAATATGAACAGTTTTATAACCTGTAATGAACAAGCATTCTGAGAGTATTGCATAGCAATACATAGTCCCCTACCGGTTAAAAATTCATTGTACTGGAACAAAATGCTAACTTGATCTGTAACTTGTCATGGTGTAAACTATATAACAAATATCAAGTCAATATCTTCAAGCATGAGGATAAAAAGTGTGGAAAACTGATTATTTAAGTAAATTTTCTAAGTCCAAGGACCATAACGCTGCACAAAATCATCAGACCGGAACAAAATTCGAACTTGATCTGTAACTTGTCATGATAAAACTATATACAAATTATAAAATCAATATCTTCAAGCATGACCAAAAAAAGTGTGGAAAAGTGATTATTTGAGTTAATTTTCTAAGTCCAAGGACCATAACTCGGCACAAAATCTTCAGACCATAACAAAATTCAAACTTGATCTGTAACTTGTCATGATAAAACTATATAACAATTATCAAATCAATATCTTCAAGCATGAAGAAAAAAGTGTGGATAACTGATTTGCCGGACTGACAGACGGACAGAGAGACAGACAGACAGACGGATGGAGTGCAAAACTAAAGTCCCCTTCGACTTTGTCGGTAGGGGACTAAAAAGAAGGAAAAATGAAAAAAAAATTAAAAACCAACATATGACAGATGGATACTTTGTAACATAAGGCATCATGCATTCAAGGTCTGAAGCATATATGGTCTTTTTACATTCTGAAATATAAAGATTTACACAAATAGTTTACGTCATCACAGTCACCGCCAGATACTAATCCCTATGTCTCCCATTCTGTGACTTTTGTAGCAGGCGAGACAATAAAACTAGATGCATGAAATAATGTTAAACATGTATTTAAAGTGAATTAAGGTGAATTGAAAAATAGACTAAAATAGCAATAAAAAAAGAAAATAAATTTTTTTTTACTGGCATTGGATATTTTTGTGGATATATTATTTTTCTTTTATTAGTATATACTGTGTTAATGGAAGGTAAGGCTTTTTTGTAAACTTTTTTTTCATTTTTGGCTTGTGTATGTATAAATGTTTCATTGCGCTTTAATCAGTTTTGGTCTGATAATTGGTATAAAAACAAACAGAACTTTGATTGACAGTATAATGGCTTGTATGATACAATTCATTAATATGAACATAATGGGTGATTACATTCCACTGCACACATTAAACAGATACTTTCTTTCAGTTGTAGGATGGCAATGCATGATTTATTTTTAGAAGGATAAGAACTTTGAGCTTGCTTTCAGTAAGACCAACTAAAATTAACAAGTAAAACATTGAGCTACTGCTCACTAATGATACCCCTGCTTTAAGAAATTTTTACCGGTAAACAGGAAGATGATAAGTGATAAATCTGAAAACACATCACACTGTTTAGCATGCTCACATGAAGCCTAATAACAAATTTCAGTAAGCTGATTTTTGTAGTTTCCTAGAAAAATGCGACAAAAATTTGATACATGGCAAATATAGAAGTTTTCATTAAACATGAAGTAGGGAATGGATGAATCTGAAACTGCAAAACATGGTTTACATTTTCATATGAAGACTGGTAACAAATTTCAGGAAGCACTGATTTGTAATTCTTGCGAAAAATGCAACGAAAATTTCATAAAAGGCAATTAATGTGTTAGAATATACAAGTATTTGGTAAACAGGACATTGAGACTGGATGATTCTAAACTGCATTACACAGTATTGCATATTCACATGAAAACAAATTTTACAAAGCTCTTATTTGTAGAACCTGAGAAAAATGCGATGAAATTTCATGGGACGATTGGACATAGGGATGGACAGACAGGCAGAGGTAAAACAGTATACCGTACTCCTATATATATATTATGTAGCTCCTTTGTAGCAGGGGTATAATAATTAGATCTTCGTCCACCTTGAGGAAAAAAATGGGGTGTGTGGGAGGACTTGATTGTTTCATTTTAATTTCCTCTGAGACTGTTTTGTGAAATGAACAAAACTTGGAAATTCTAAATCTTTAGAAATAAAAAAAAATTGGGGCAAGGCAGGGATGAAAATCTATCATTTAATTATTTTGTGTTTTTCTATAATATAATACCATTATTTTAAAGTTAAGTCCTTTTCCTGTACTTTTTTTTTATTGTTCTTTGATATACAATTGAGACTAAAACGAATGAGGTTTTTAGGTCTCAAAAAAGTATTTTTTCTGTGTTTCAGATAATTGTTGAAACAAAAAGAAAAAATTACAAAGAAAATTTGGCTGTGATGAAATTGAATAAATACTCCTTTATAAAAGAAACATTAAGATAATTAAAACTGCCATATATGAATGTGCCTGTATCAAGTTAGGAACACTAAGTTGTCTTATGTCATGATATCTTTTAATGTTTTTCTTTATTTTGAGAATTTGGTGTTGATGGTAGATTTCTTATTTGTCTTTGTTTACTTTTTTGTAGACTTAGGGAAATTGAGAGCTTTGACATTGTACAGAATCTGTCTATTATGTAATTGCCATCATATTTAATTTATTGTCTATGAAATATGTTATGCATATGAACAGGAAGCTCACTAGGTGAAAAAAAAAATCACCAGTTTGCTAATAAGAACTTTTACATGCACATACTTTAGTTACTGTTTACAGTTTCTCTTTATCTTCTCTAGTTTTGCCAAAATCACAAAAAGGGTAAAAAAATCATCATTTAAGGGCAATCACTCCTATAAAAAGTCAGCAAAATTCAACTTATTTGTGGATCTTGTCTTGCTTCATAATTTTCAAGATAATATGCAAAATCGCTAAAATTGGTAAATATTGTCATTAAAAGGCAAGAACTCAAATAAGGAGTCGACTGACAATTTCGGTCATGTTGCCTTATTTGTTGATCTTAATTTGCGAATTATTTTTGCAGTTTAAAGTGTCTATCTATCTTTTATAGTTTTCAAGATAAAAAAAAAGGTAAAAATCGTTATTAAAGAGCAGACATAACTCCAATTAGAAGTAATTGGAGGATTTTGGTAATGTCAACTTATTTATAGATCTTGTCTTGCTGATCATTTTTGCTTCTTCAATTTTTATCTATCTATTATAGCGATTAAGATATTAGGCAAAAATGCAAAAAAAAATAGTAAAAATCATCTGAAAGGGTAATAACTCCAATAAGGAGTCATTTTGACTAAGTTGACTTATTTGTAGATCTAGTCTTTCTTATCATTTTTGCTGCATAAAAGTTCTCTATATCTATTATAGTTTTCAAGATAATAGGCAAAAGTGAAAATTTTTTAGTAAAAGTTGTCATTTAAGGGCAATAATTCCTATAAGAAGTCCTCCAACAGTTTTGATTCAAATAGACAATAGGTAGATCTTAACATTCTGAACATTTATGCTTTGAAAGATTTTTAACGGTTTTCAAGATAATAGACAAAACCTCCATTTTACCCCTATGTTCCATTTTTAGCCATGTCAACCATTTTGGTTGGCTGGAGGATCATTGGACACATTTTTAAACTAAATATCCCATTGAAGATTGTAGGTTTCCATTCTCAATTTTAAGTTTAGTTAAATTTGGCTTAGTAGTTTCAGAGGAGAAAATTTTTGTAAAAGTTAATGGACGACTATGATGGACAAAGGAGTACGAGTGATGAGAAAAGCTCACTTGGAGTTTTGGGCCAGGTGAGCTAAACTAGAGGCTCTTAAGAGCCTGTGTCACTCACCTAGGTCTATGTGCATCTTAACGGGTAGACAGAATAAATTTAGTGAAAAAATTTCTTTCTGTTGATCTTGTATTGCTGATCATTTTTTCTGTTAGCAATTTCTCTCTGTCATCTAGTTTTTGCCCAAATCACAAAAGAAGGTAAAAAAATCGTCATTTAAGGACAATCACTCCTATAAAGAGTCTACTAGCTATGTCTTGCTGATCATTTATGTTCTTTAAAGTTTCTATTCATCTTTTATAGTTTTCAAGATAATAGGCAAAAAACACCAAAATTTGTTAAAAAATCATCACTTTAGAGCAAGAACTCCAATAATGAATCGACTAGCGATTTTGACCATGTTGACTTATTGTAGATCTTGTCTTCCTGATCATTTTTCCTACATAAAATGTCTATCTATCTATTACAGTTTTCAAGATAATTGGCAAAAAAATTGGTAAAAATTGTCATTAAAGAGCAAATACTCCAATAACAAGTCGAATGAAGAATTTGTCCATTGGACTTTTTTGCAGATCTTATTTTGCTGATCATTTTTGCTTTTTAATGTTTCTATTTTTCTATTATAGTTTTCAAGATAATAGGAAATAACACTACAAATTGATAAAAATCGTCATTAAAGAGCAAAACCTCCAATAACGAGTCGAAGAATTCGGCCATTAAACTTTTTTGTAGATCTTGTCTTGCTGATCATTTTTCTATCTCTCTATTACAGTTTTTCAGATATTAGTCAAAAACACAAAAAATTAGTAAAATCGTCTGAAAGGGCAATAACTCCAATAAGGAGTCATTTTGACTAAGTTGACTTACTTGTAGATCTTGTCTTGCTGATCATTGTTGCTGCATTAAGTTCCTCTCCATCTATTATAGTTTTAAAGATAATAGGTACAAGTGAAAAAAATTTAGTAAAAGTTGCCATTTAAGGGCAATAACTCCTTTAAGAAGTTGTCTGACAGTTTTGACGTAAACAGACAATAGGTAGAGCTCAACATTCTGAATATTTCTGCCCAGTCAGATATTCTCTTTTTATAACAGTTTTCAAAATAATAGACAAAACTTGCGTTTTACCCCTATGTTCTATTTCTAGCCATGTCTGCCATTTGGTTGGAAGGCGGGGTGAATACCTCAATGACGATTATGGTCAAATTTTGTTAAATTTAGTCCAGTAGTTTTAGAGGAGAAAATACTAGTAAAAATTAACGGACGAAGACGACAAATGCCAAATGATGAAAAAAGCTCACTTGGCCAGGTGAGTTAAAAAAAAAGGTCATTAAATATAATATACAATTGCTCTCTTCTTTTAAAATTAAGTACCACAATTTACTTGTATAAATATGATCAATGAAAAATGCTTGCCAGTAATTCAAAACTTAGTGGAGAAGCAGAAAATAACCATTTTCAAGTCTTACATTTGATCTTGCCAGGGCTCTCAATGTGTGCCAGTTACCAGGAGACCACTGAGGCATTAATACAACATGATTTCTATTATATGTATAAAATATTAAGATATAACAAGCATTCTGAGAGTATTGCATGGCAATACATAGTCCCCCACCGGGTAAAAATTCATTATACTGGAACAAAATGCTAACTTGTTCTTTAACTTGTCATGGTGTAAACAAAAAGTAAATATCATGTCAATATCTTCAAGCATGACTGAAAACAGTGTGAAAACTGATTATATGAGTGAATTTTTCAAGTCCAAGGACCATAACTCTGCACAAAATTATTAGACCGAAACAAAAATTTGAACTTGATCTATAACTTGTCATGATAAAACTATATACCAATTATCAATCAATATCTTATAAGCATGATGAAAAAAACATTAGATATGATTAATAGTTCTCTAAAATTAGATATGATGTAATACAGTGTATATCTATTTTCAAATTATAATCAGATATAATTAATAGTTCCAAATATTTTTTCTTTCATTTGTCACAAACTAATATAGATTTGTAACTTATCTATAAAATGTCAACAACTTTTATCTACACAATGTAATGTATTGAATTATATACATTAATAAAAATAGATTATTATCTAATTAAAGAATTTCTCTTTATAATTTTTTTTTATATATATAGCATTCAGAAAATTAGTTTATACTAAATAACAAACAAACCTGTCAAAAAATTCTTCAAATAATTTAACAAAGAATGTCTTTTAAAAAATGATTTATCTCCCTTTATACAGAAATATGGTTTAACATTGTACTCTAACATTAGATATGGTCCAGAGTTATGGTCCATAACTCTGGATTAAATCATCAGACCGGAACAAAATTCGAACTTAATCTATAACTAGTCATGATAAAACTATATACCAAATATCAAATCAATATCTTCAAGAACAAAGAAAAAAAGTGTGGAAAGCTGATTTGCCGGACTGACGGATGGACAGACGGACAGATGGACAGATGGACAGACGGACGGAGTGCAAACCTAAAGTCCCCTTCGACTTCGTCGGTAGGGGACTAATAAAATTTAATGAAATGTGATCCTATTTTTAGCATATGACATACCTGCAGTCTATAAACTTTCCTCTTAATTTTTTTATTGTATATACTGTGAACAATGCCATCTTCTGGGTTATCTCCCTTCTCTAATTTCCAACCATCTTTAGTTTGATGCATTTCCCATACAATATCCATTAACTCATCACCTAACTGAATATATTCCTGCTCCTGAAAAAATACAAAAATACTTAGAATTCTTAAGACTTATCAAAATATACCATATTAACCCAAAAATGTATATATATTTTTAAAACTTCTCGAAGATTCTGTTGAGTTTAGATATCATGCTTTTTCCTCCAAATTCAAATCTTTGACACACATTATGTACATATTAAATTTGTATGTAACATAATATTCCTATGCAAATACATGCATTTTCAATCTAAATTTCATATATTCTCAGTAGTAAAATATACCACACTAAAACTACAGGCTCTATGTGCATCTTCCACAATGGACAATAGAATTCATGACAAAAATCTCTTTTTTTGTCAATCTTATTTTGCTAATATTTATTTCTGTTTACAGTTTCTTTCTATCTTCTACAGTTATTGCCCAAATCATAGAAAAGGGTAATAAAATGCTTCGCTGAGTGCAGCCAGATAAGACTGCAGAGGTCTAACCCTGAACAGTTGGGGCAAGTTTGGACACAATATTCAAGCTTGATACTGTCTGAATTTGGATTGTGATCAAATTTTTGACATTTATAGGTTTCTGACACAAAATAAATGTGGTCAAAGATCTTAAAAATTTGAAATGGGACATTTAATTTACCTAGAATGGTCTGATATCCAAAATGGTTAGATTCAGCATATAAAAAAACACCAAAAAATTAATTTTAGTTGAAATCAAACAAAGTTTAATTTTAGACCCTTCAAACCTTAATATGGACTAATTTGAAAACAGGGCCCAAAATAAAAAATCTAAATGCACAATAAGATTCAGCATATCATACAGCCGCAATAATTCAGTTTTTGATGAAATCAAACAAAGTTTAATTTTGGACCCTTTTGACCTCAATGTAGACCAATTTAAAAATGGGGCCCAATATCCAAAAAAGTAATACAAGGTTAGAACCCCCAAAAATTAAAGACTTTAAATTAATCCCATTGAAATTGGTTAAAAGATTTGTATTCAGGGGCGGATTCAGGCAGGGGCGTGGCAGGCGTGCACCCCCTAAAATTTGCAAAGCATGGGTTGTCCTCAGCTTAATAAAGAATATTTCTATAATTTTACCCCAAAAAAATTTAAGTTTGCACCTCCCCTAACCTAAAATCCTGGATCCGCCCCTGATATTTATTTTCAATGAAGATTTCTTGCTATTGCGCAACACTGTACAATTTAAGATTTCTTGCTATTGTGCAATACTGTGCAATTGAAGATTTCTTGCTATTGCACAATACTGGCCAATTGAAGATTTCTTGCTATTGCGCAATACTGTATAATTGAAGATTTCTTGCTATTGTGCAATACTTTGTAATTGTGCAATACTGTGCAATTGAAGATTTTTTGCTATTGTCCAGAAACCAAATGTGTCTTCGGACAACGCCGACGACGACAACAACACCATATAGCATTATAAATTTTTGCGGTCGTATAAAAATTACCAATTAAGGGCAATCACTTCTAGAAAGAATCTACTAACAATTTCTGCAAAATTTGATTTTTTGTAGATAATGTCTTGCTGATCTTTTTGCGTAAACCCCTGAGGGTTTACGCAGTATGTATTGGACGATGTCCGTAGTCTTTCGGAACACCGGATGTTATTCGGAATACATCTGTTCTTTCTATGACCACCTTTCATATACATGCACAATAGCTTATTAATTGACCTGTTGAATAAGCATTAGCATCTTAAAGTTGCTATAGAGATATGTTACATATGATGCGAAATTTATTATGATGCAAGCTACTTTAATAAGCATTTGAATACTTCCTTGCACGCAATTACAAGCTGCTAATATTTACCTACATATATGCGTACTTATTTTAATTAGAGTCGAACGTTGAAACCAGCTGTGTTTAGATATGAGATAAGATTTCATGTAATCAATGCGATTTATATTCGGAACGAGAATCGTTAAAACTAAAATCTATAAAAGAAGTATTACTAGCATTTCATTTAAGGTTTTGAGTCTAGGGAAGATGTACTTGATGTACAAAGCAGGCTAATTCATTTTTTTTATACTGAAATTAAAAAGAAGTCTTTCTTGCACTTTATTAAAATTTTACGTCTAGAATAGACCAAGGACGTATATAATCTATTATATGTCCTTGAATGGATGTAAAAAACGAGTTTTCTAAAAAAAATATCGTTTATTAAAAATAACATTTAAATTAATTATGAAAGTACATTGCAAATTGAAATACAGTTATTTTCTTTGTTTAAATATTGCAACATTATTTCCTTTTTAAAAAACAAGGAGGTCATATAACCTCCTTGATTAAAATAACAAATCAGATTGTTATAGGTAAATCTGGATCCTTGTTCGTTATTAGAATGTGAATAAATAGATATTGAATATGATAAAAAACTAAAACTGAAATCTAAATCTAAAATATATTTAAAAAAAAAATACATTTGACCATGCAGATGAAAGAAATAATACTTCAAGCAATGAAATAATGAATCAAATGTGCCGCTTTAATTACGATCGATAACCTTAAAATTAATCATGCATGCAATTTCAGCAGACTTAACAGGATCAGCGATAAGATATCAGATGTCTATTTATAGACACCGAGTGATGACAGATGCAGGCAGAGATAAGAAAAAATAATTTCTATTTATAGTTATCTGGGCCAGGGAACAGATTATCTAACCTGTAGTAATTAAGGCTCTTCAAAATGTCAAAATAAAAAAAAAATTATTATTTCTTGAAAACGATCAGATGATGAATTTTCGGTTTTAATATATTAAATACGAAAATGTAAAATAGTGCAAGGAGATTTTGAAAGACGACAGGATAATTGATACTTAGCATATGCATGTAAAATAGTTTTTAGGAAATATTGAAGTTTGTTTTATTCATGTTATATTTTTATAATTTTGACCACAAGTAGCAGAGCTTTGTGTGACCATTGTGATAATGTACCGATGTAAACGCGTTATCTAATTAATTAAAAGCTCCTGGTCAACTGTTCTCATAACTGTGTAAACTAAACTTTCTCTGATGTCTTATATAACAGCTACGGTGTATGGGTTGTAAGTGTTTCTTTGTGATGTTAAAGTTGTGTTGCAAAAACAAATCGGTTGTTGTACTAATTAATTAGATTACAAGACAGTAAGTGAGTATAAAATTATTTATAATTGATACTGAGAGAATCTTAATTATATAGAGCGACGCCTGTTGTTACCATATGTTGACATAATGGCTACATTGAAAGTCCATGCAGGTAGAGTGAGATGTAGACTTTACGAATGAGACAATAGCCTATTCAAATGATTTTTTAGTAATCTAATTTGGAAAAAATAGAAAGACAATATAAATACTAAAAAAAAATCATAGAAAGATCTTGCGAGGTTAATGATTTTTTTCTTATTATAATTACGTTTTTATATGGTTTTTTTTAGTCGTTAAATACTTTAGGATACCTTACATATGTCATGCTCTCGTATAAAACTGGTGCAATTGAAAGAAAAAATCAAGTGAAATGCAGATCGGCGCAAATGCAAAACGCAGGTTTTAGATAAATTAACTAAGAGATTTACCCCTTACTAAATAAATAAAATCTGCTATTTGTTCTGCCTTTCTTAATACATTTGTCCTGCCTTTCTTAATACATTTGTCCTGCCTTTCTTAATACAATAATCTGAAATCCATTTTTAATTCATCAAATGGTCACGCGGTAAAAATCTTTCTCCTGTCTTACTTAAAAAATTTCTTATACCCAGTTATATTTCATCAAATGGTTGCTCGCAACAATAAAAATCTTTTTCTCCCCATTGTACCCAGAGGAGGGACGACATTGAAGGTGTCTCCCACTTACTGTATTTTTAAATCCATAAATAATTTATCAAAAGGTAGCTTGCCAAAAAAAAATTCTTCCTTTTGTTTTTCTTAAATATTTTTTCTTAAACCTTTTAATCTATCATATAGTCGCTTATAGCAGTAACAAAGATTTTATTTTTTTATGATTTCAAGCTTAGGTTGTATTTTATGTACTTGCATTTGTGTTGGGATATTAAATGTTATGTTTTTCCCTCGAGGTTTTTCCTTAATAATTGATTGGGCACTTTTCGAATTATTCATTTTATTATAACTGTACATGTAAAAAGTATTTAAAATTAAAAATCGGATTTAAAATAATGCATTCAACAAATTGTAAACACACCAAAAATTTCGGATTAGCAACTTTTAATAGGGGTGTACTTTACAATAGTGATTATTTTTTTTTTTGCTTTAGTACACTATATTTTCCGTCTATCGTTTTTTTATATTGTAAATTATTTAATTTTGAGTAACAATATATAATACTTTTGTTTTAACTATATTATTGTTAGTTCATTTAAAAATTGTCTTTTCTTGCACCCCTAATTAAGAATGGTTGATTCCTACGATCATTTATGTAAGTTTCACTTTATTTAAATGATATGCTAATAAGTGTAATTAATTTGATGGTCACGTGGTATTGGGATGCTGGTCACACCGCTCTGTCTTTAAAAATTAATGAAAAAACGTGTTCAAATAAAAAAAGGAACACCTTACAACAGTTCATAAATGTGGCCTTTAAACAAACTAATGTTTAGAAATGGGTATTCAGTGATAATTTCAGGTTTGATTATGTTAGTTGTTTTGTTGTTTTCAATATAGTTTGTTTATTTATAAGTACAAGGTGTAAGCTGTTTTGTCTAGGCTGTAAATAGCTTTCTTAATGAATTGGTTTTGGTCATCAAGGTGATGAGAATACAGTGCAATTCAAATTATATATATTTACAATTAAACTTGCAGGCTTTTTTTCATGACCACAATTTAAAATATAAGAAAACATCAAAATAAAAAGGGACATTCAAAAAATATCTTCAAATCGAGTTAAAGGTTTTAAAAAGTTTTTGTTTTTAGCGAAAGAGGTTTGTCATCTAAACCTTTTAAGAGCACAAAGCACACAACTTAAAATTACCAATGCTTTCTACCCTAAGCATCACAAAAACCTTGCAGAGCAGGTGT